GTGTGATGTTTTTGGTATAGTGGAAATGCAAAAAACATACTTTTACTTTTTTCAATTTAAGAATTTATTAAAAAAAAGGTTTGGTGCATTATTTAATTTTACAAAATATTTCATCGTAACTTTTTATACGCATAAATTACGGAATAGTACAAAACTGACTTAAGCCTGGCAGTATGGATCAAACACCTTTGCCTTTTTTGAAGGATGATTTCCAAGAAAGTAAACAACTTTCTTGGATGGTAAATGTATAATATATAGAAAATCAAGTCTACTCCATTCAAGAAACTAAAGCTGCTGTTAGTGGTGCCTTAGTAGTCTTAGGCGTCAAATAGACGATCAATTTGACGTTAGTTCAAAACGGTAACTTTGATTCAGTTATTCAGAGCTATATGCAGGATTGGATCCGTTGTAGGGATGTGATTGTGTAATGAGGAGGAATTAAAAAAAATAGACTTTAATTAATTAGACACACGGCTGATGTGAGGTTGCCACAATATTTCTCTAGTTTAAAATTTAGGTTTAAAATCAAATAGAAAAATTTGACAGATTAGCATAACCTGATGTGCTGTTGACTGTAGGTACCTACTTTAAAATATATGAAGTGTACAACGAAATTCAAAATATTAAATAAATAAGTAAACTCATTGTGTTTCTGACACACAAAATATAATTAAAAAATTGAACCGCAAATTTCAGTTATTAATTAACTATTTTACTTGTCAAGAAACGAAAAAAGTCCTGTATTTGAACCATTTCGATGCTATATTTGTGACGAGTCCGGTAGCTTTGATGTTGGTAGTAAATGAAACGGCTGACTAGACTTGATAAGTATATTTTGGTATTAACACAAAATAAAAATAATCTGAAAAAATAGTCCGTTATATATTAATAAAATTAGTTTAGAATAAGTACTCAAATAAATCAGCTACTAAGTTTTCCTTAATAGCTAAAACTTAGTTTCATAAATACAGATTCATAAATACACTTAAGTGTTTATTACATAGAAAATTTGCTTTAAAAACATAATTTAAATTTAAATATTTTATAATTACTACATTAATTTAATGAACTGATATTCAGAAAGAGCATATCGTGTTACTCAAATTGTCAAATTACGAAAAGCGAATAATAAAAAGAAATTACCTTAAAGATCAAAGGTAAAAAGTTTGGATGCGAGTACATTTCTGGCCAAAAATTTACATAAAATGACGAAAATAGAATCGCCATCTGACAGTGACATTTAATAACTATATTTTTAATACATTCTCATTTCAGCCACCAATACAGTTAATTTGCATCGCACAAATCCTGATCCAGGTTCACAGATTGAACTGATGTTAGATTTATCTTCTAATAGCCGCTTAACCAACATTATAATTTGTGTTGAGATAACGTACAATTGTTTTTAATCTCGCTTATTCTAATCAATTCGGATGGTTTGCTGTAGTCATCCAAGGTGATAATTCTATGTAAAATATAAACGGTAATTAAAAAAAAACGACGACTCAAATAATGCCTTATGATGGTCTTTGAAGGTCAACACTATTAAAAAAAAAGGTAAAAATTCAAACCCGAATTCGAATCCACTCAAATATCCGAATTCACTTCAAAAAGCGGCATCCGCTCAAACTTGAATTGGTAATAACGTTTCGTGACATAAGCAAAATGAGTTACGAAATGATATAGTATTAAAGTATCTGAGACACGTATGATCAATAAATTATTTAAGTATTTTAATCAATAGAATTTCTATACTAATTGAATAGTGAATCTGGACACATGAGTGAATTCGTGAATTTACAGAATCGCAGGGCTGTTCTTTTAATTTCACTTGATATCATTAGTTTGATAAACTATAGGTAGTACAAAACTTTTTTTTTTAATTGAGGGAATGTTTTTACGCTATTATTATTCAATTATACCGGTTAAAGAATAATATTGTAAATACATATGTACAAAATTACGAAGGAATAGATAGTGTGGGCGGTATTCTGACAATCCATAAACGTTATCATTCAACGTCTTTATCTGTCAACTGTCGATATCATCATTGGTATTGAATAAAATTATTTGAAAAACGTGGTTTTATATTCTTTATTAAACCTCTTTAGTATGTACAGATATGTATAGTTCTAGTGCGGTTAGTAAATAATAAAAAAAATATCTGAATAAATAACAAAATATTACTTATAAATAAGCGGTTAATAGTATGTTTCTACCTTTATTTGTAATTTCGAGTTAGTAAAAAATAATTATTGAATGTATAGCCGGTTAGTAAGTCAATATCCAATAGGACTCAAGTGTTAATTTATTGTGTCGTGATTTTAATATTTTGTTTATATGTAATTTATATGTGTATTTTAATAATTTTGTATAAATGATGTTAAAACTCTTGATTATAATTTTATTATCGTAGTTATAACAGTAAGCGTAAAGCTATCTTATTGCATCCACTAATTAAAAACTGTTTTTAAATAATTACTTGATAACTTTAACAAATATTTCAAGTGAAGCAAAACTCTCGGCTACAAAGTGATTTATATGATTTTTTTTCTATCAATAAGATTTTACAAGTTTTTATTTGTAGTGACACAAAAATTAATGATATGATGTAATTTTTTTCATTTTTATTCACTACTTATTTTCACGTTATTTCTTTGTACAAGACCAGCTGAAAGTTTGTGATTTTTTGTGTACGCACCCACTTATATGTTAGACTGGGGCATTTATTATGACGGTCATTGACCTACTATTATTACAATGTTCCTATAGTTTTCTGTACATAGTTACATATTATTATTATATAACATTGTATATTTGTCTAAAGTAGTACCTAAAGTGTTTTATAAAAACATATTATTAAAACCTATTAAATATCTTTGGATTATTATTTTATTTTGTCATCTTTTACCTTTCTTGTTAAAATAAAAACAATTATTAATTAAAAATCAAAACCCAATGAAGCTTATCTGAGTTATGTTTCAATACTAGCTGTTTTCCTGCGACTTCGCACGGCGTGTGATGCAGCTTTGTGTTCAATTAAATTATCTATGTTGTCGTCAGGGACAGTTGAACATCGCGTAACCAACACTTGCACTCTAGAGCTTAATTTTATTGAGATAGTTTTACCTATATATTTTCACTGAAGATTGTTCTAGTGAAGACGATAGATTTGATCTTGGTGGCTGTTCTTTTACTCACTCATCTCATTTATACTAGTATGTAGTAATTTGTTGCTATTTACACAGCTAAAATTTCCCATTCATTTCTTTACAACTGACGATATTTAATTATTTGAATATTGCACCATTATCATATCTATAGGTTGATAACCGAATTTTAATGTGTACCTACAGTTTCTTAATAATTACCTATTTAAATAAAAAATGTCATTATAGCACTGTTAATGAAAAATTTCATAATAACTAAAAATAGTTTAAATTTGTGGTGCCCTAGATTGTGTATTCTTCTGAATATATTGCATATCGACAAAACCGAAAAAACACGTTCTTGAAAAAAAAAAGTTCTTTTTAATGAAAAAAAGCAAATAGAAAACTTTTACTTTAAATATTGTTTCTTCTTGGGATTTTTTTTTATAATCACGTGCTAATTAAGAAAAAAAAAGTTCTTCAGCTGCACTTCCGATTCAATGAAAATGGAAGGTGAAGCAGCATTTAACAATATTTTGCCTGAAACGTCTAAAAAGAGATATTTTAACTAATAAAATGTTTTATTTTTGTAATGCTGGTTTTTTTCTACTTATGTACCTTACAATCGAGATATAAAGCAGAGTAGTTAGTCAAACGGTAAACAAACACTTGAGATTTTCCATACATATAATAAGGGCACGCGATTCATGCGATATTGCTCATCGATATCAAATTGCACGAAAGCCAATGAATATCTATAATAAATAAATATTTATTTTAACTAAAAGTTCAATAAGATTATTGTAACTTAACCATATGAAAAGTCTCAATTTTTTAATTAAAATGTTATTGTCGCCTTCTTAGAAAGGAACAAATATAGCCTATGTACTTGATATCTCGCTCGACTCGTTTTTCATGTTTGACAATACCCGACATTATATAGTGACCTGTGTTAGTTAGAGCTGTAAAGTAACGAATAAAACTGTACCCGTATTTATTCGTTACTCAAAAAATAATTACTTGTTACTTTCGTAGCGTTACTTGTTACTTCTAATACCTCATATTTATGTTAGAGCAACGAATCGAATCGTATTGCGTAACCATATCGTACAGTATGACAACGCAACATTCGTTATTTGTAGAAAAGTTACTTAAACAAGTACTGAAAAATGTTATAATTAAAAAGCAGCAAATCGGACTAGAAAATAATTGATTTATAATAAAATTTAAACATAAAATCTTTTGCATTCTCAATAGTTGAATAGAGCTATACCTCTCACTTAATATTTGACCTGATTTGGAAAAAAGTCCTTTCAAATGGTACCCAGGTAGTCATCATAGTTAAATATTTCTCAGCCAAGTTTGAGAGTTCGGGGTATAGTATTGCTCGCGTATGCCACCATTTCATTATTCCTCATTTCGAGGAATAATCAGTTCTTCTAAATATTGTCTTGCCCAATAAACACTTAAAACTCATTAGAGTCTCAATCAACAACTCTAAAAGGATAAAAAAGGATAATTAAAAAAAGAAAATAAGCGATAATAAAAAATTCAAATATATATTTATATTCTATAATTAATACTTTCTTACCTTGTTTTCCAAATAATTCTTTAACAAAATAGATTTTTTAGTAATGTACGTTTAACCTCATCGAATAAGCGCGCGCAATGGACACATGCGTAATATCTGCAGACAGAAAACGTAAAACATATTATTAACAAGGGTTTCAATACCCGCATCAACTAGTACCTACGTAAACTGAAACTGTATAGATGGCATATACGAAAAATGCTAGTAACGAAATGCATTCGTAAGTAACCTTTCGTCACTCGGTACTAGATGGCGCACCCGTTACTCAGTACCGAATAGATACGATTTGCTACAGCTCTAGTGTTAGTGACATTGACGTTTATAGGTATATAAGATTTTGTGGAGTACAAATTTATTTTATATTTAAAGCTGAGAAACAGTTACAATACGATTGGTTTATTAGTACCTCATTATGACTTCTAACGAAAAAGAATATTTTGGACCATTGACGCTGCATCAGAATAATGAAAAACCAACTATTTTCAAGAGCAGTGAGCCGGAAGTATGTTTTTGTGTTTTATGTGAAGACAAGTATAGTTTGCCGACCTCGGAAAAGCAGCTTCTTACGCATCTGTTTATGAAACATCGTCTGGTTATTTCTGATGTAAACCAAATAGCGGATCTGAGTGCCTATCTCAAATATTGGAGGTTAAGATTTAAAGGTTAGTTTCTGAAATATTCCTCAGTTGTTCTCATAATTTATGTAAATTTTTTTATCATAACGTAATTACAACAGTCGATTAGTGTTTTACATAGCTTTGGTCATTGTAGTTAATCATGCTTGGAGCAGTTTAAGAATTAAAGCATGGTATAAGTTTTATGGACTTATTTTTTACTTTAAACAATGAAACTCCAGACCCTGACTACTTATTTAATATTTGTATCTTATTTTTCAGATCAGAGCTTATCATTTTACTGTACAACAATGCTATTAGACAGTAAACCAGATGGCACAAAATCTAAAAATGAAGAGTACTTTTTACTTAGTGATGTATTGCCAGAAGATAAAGAACTCCGGTCTAATCTGCAACAAAACAAATTGGAAAAACTTCTACAAAGACATCAGTTTGAAAGAGAAGATAAAAACTATGAAAGAGAATGTCTATTTTGTAGATTTGTATCAATAGGTACAAGAGCTATGTATTTAAAACATTTATATGAGAAACATAATTTCCATATTGCTAAGCCAGATAACCTTATATTCATAGATGATTTAATTAATACAATAGCAACAAAGTTAGATAAATTACAATGTATTTTTTGTGAGGGTGATTTTAAAGATCGTACTATACTTAAAGAGCATATGCGTAAAAAAGGTCACAAGAGAATAAATCCAGACAATAAAGAGTATGACAAATTCTTTTTGATCAACTATACTGGAGATAAACTGAAAAACAATTTAAGGCCAAATATTAATAAGAATCAAAATCGAGTATCACAAAGAGTGCCTGATTGTGATCATGAGTCTAATGACAGTGACCCAGAATGGTCAGATTGGACTGAAGAAAATGGTCCTCTGATTACATGTTTGCTATGCGAACATACGGAAATGGAGTTTGATAATGTGTTGAAGCACATGGAAAACCAACATGAGTTTTCTTTTGCTACAATAACAGAAGGATTAGATTTTTATCATAAAGTCAAAATAGTCAACTATATACGTCGTCAGATACATTTAAAGCAATGTTTCTCATGTGAATTGAAATTTGATGATGTGAAAAACTTAGAGAAACATTTGAGAGAAACTAAACATTGGAAAATAAACAAATCAAATTGGGATCATCCGGAATATTACTTTCCTACCTATGAAGATGATTTGTTCTTGTGTTTCATACAAGATGATGATGAGAGTTGGTGGTCAAGTGACGAACAAGAAAATGAGTCGAGAAACTCTATGTCAAACAACATATCCACAGAAATGGCTTTAGCTGTACTTAAGGATTAATTTATATTTTGTAAGTATATCTCATTGATAATCTAAATTATTTGATGCAATAAAATTATAACTGAAAAATATAAAAAAAGCTATAAGTCACTACATAGTATAAAACAAACTCATTTTCTCTGTCCCAATATCCCTATGTATGCTTAAATCTTTAAAACTATGCAATGAACTTTGATGCGGTTTTCTTTTCAAAGATAGGGTGATTCAAAAGGAAGGTTTTTATGTATAATACAAGACCATGTGGGTGAAGGCGCTAATAATATTCTAAACTCTAGTCATGTAATGAAATTTAATTTATCAAATTAAATAATACCTAGTTAATATTTTGTCTATACTAATAATAAAGCTGAAGAGTTTGCTTATTTGATTATATAATTGCTAATATTAAATGCATATGTTATGTTTCTTAAATACATAAATGTTTGTTACATTTAGCTCAGCTACAGTGAGCAGTAGCTGACACTACTATACTTTTAAAACAGAATTTTGATTTTGTTATGTATCTAGTCTTTATTTTTCCCGATTTTTATCAAACAGAGTAACTTTCTTTTAAAAATTTGCTATTTTATCAATTGCATAATTTAAGTGATATTATTTAATAGGGCGAAAAAATTAAATGTTACATTTAGCTGTCGCTACTACTTGCTTACTGTACTGTACTTTTAAAAAGCATTTTGATTTTTGTGTAATTTTCGTTTTTTTTCTGATTTTTATAGAACAAAGTAGTTTCCGTTTTCAATTTTGCTGTTTATCTATATCATCATTGAATGGGGAATTGTTAATCAGATATAAAATAAAACTTTACATTTAACTGTTGCAACTGATCACTAGATGACGCTACTGTACTTTTAAAACGGGATTTTGATTTTTGTTATGTTTGTAATTTTTTTCCGATTTATATAAAACAAAGTAGCTTTACATAATAACGTAATTTAATGGGGAATCGTTAATCAGGCTAATAAATTAAAATATAGTTTTCGCTAAATTAAAACGTGGTTTTGATTTCTTTCATGATTGTCTTTATTGTTTTTCTGATTCATATCAAAGTTGCTCAATAAAAAAAAACAATTTTGCGGTTCCATAGTCAACAAGGAACCCTTATAGGTTCGTCATGTCTGTCTGTCTGTCCGTCGGTCTGCGGTTTAGCTCAAAAACGATTGTATTAGAAAGGTGTAATTTAGCATGGCTTACACTTCAATCACGCCGACGACCGAACCGAAAAAAAACATTTATCCACCTCCCCTAGATGTAAAGTTGAGGATATTTTTTTTTTATCTTCCCATTGCATGGGGTATCATTGTTGGATAGGTCTTTCAAAATATTAGGCAGACCGTTTTTCGATTTCGTTAATCGTTCGTGACCTATCTAAGCTTCAAAGTGACGATTTTCGTTAGAGTCCAATGACCCCCCTCCCCCCACCAACTAAACGGTTGTTAGAAATCAACGTTTTGGCAGTAGTGTATATAACGAATTTAACAGGAAAACTATCATACTTAAGTTGGATTTACAAATTTTATCTTAAATAGAAACTTAAATTCGAAAAGAGTTGATAAATAAAAAAAAAATACTGACTAGTCGAAATTACAATACGTTGGATACCTACAAATTGAAAAGATGGCAGAATGTCCGTAGGCGAAATTTCAGGCACGTCACGCACTAAAGTCTCTAAAAATGCTGAATTGAGATAGCAAGAACAAGTTGACCATCAAGTTGCTATGAGGATCAGGCGTAGAATAAGACTTCATTAAAAGGACTACTATTACAAAGATAACATTGGTTTGTATTTTTTGTAAGGCGTGTCGATTCTACTACGCACTAAAATGGAAAGAAGAGCAACTGATCTACTATTTTATGAAGACATGCGCGTTATAAACAGAAACACCGGTAGATTTTTCATAATCGTTTCGATCTATTGGGCACGCCCGAGCAGTGGGTACGTTGATAAGCTAATGATGATGATATAAAGGTGGATGGATAATGGCAGATTTTTAATTAAGATTTGCTTAAGGCTTCAGTATAGTAGGCCAATGTGCACATATTACCTTCGGACTACGCGGGCGAAACGGCGGGTTTAGCTAGTAAATTTATATTCCTATTCAAAGAATAAACTAACGTCAGCACAATCACTACTTTTCAAGAGAGCAATTTGACATTCAACAATCACACAAAATTGTCTGTTACTTTGGGGTTAGTTATTGTTGAGAATCAATTGTTACTTTTGGATACAAACATAGAATTTTAAAACCACATTATTTTAAAAAAGTTTTTATTGCATTTTTTATAATACATCATGGGAACCTTAGAAAGTCTATAAAATGATTGAATTATTTTACCAAATGGAACTTTATTCTACAGGCAGGTTGAGATAGAGTTAATTCTAAATGTTCAGTTTTTATCTATGAAAATGAAATGTTTATTAATTTAAGTAAAACTTAGAGCATTAAACTTTAATACTCTAAGAATAAAAGTATTTGTTAAACAAAGTTGTTGATTTGTTTTATTCTTTTAAATAAGTACCTATACTTTACTATAGTCTCACGCCCCATACAAATTTACAGTTCCTTTCTGAAGCTCAAAGTACGACTTTAGTATTAAAACAATATCTTCAAAAAATTTGCTTTTCAGAACATATTTAAAAACATGTTGTTATATATGATAAAACCATAGATTTGCTCATCATAAATCAAAGGGTAAAACTGACAACAAAGGCGATGATATAAAGTCATAGGGGTCATAAAATAATGGGAAGATAAAGGAAAACAAAATAATAAAAGTCACAGATGAAAATATAGATTCATTATTTATATATGTTAATGAAACACTTTAGTCGGTCAAAAGTCGTGATAAATTACTTAACCCTAATAAGGGTTATGTATTATTATGTATAATTTCAGTGATCCTGATTTCATCCACCCATGCCATTGTAGATAAAATGAATTGAATCCATAACTGTGATCAATCAATTAAAAAGTAGAGTAATACCCATTTTTATGTAGGTAACTGTAATTTAATTACTTTTATCTTACATCTACGGAAAGCTACATCATACGCGGGTAAATTTTTGTAAAGTTGAAATTTTGAAGATATATTATTCTTCACACGAGGTACAGAATTATACATATATTCGAAAGTAAAGGTCTCTAAAGTAATCGATAGAGCGATCCTAGTCTACTTAGCTCTTAGCTGCCTTTACAATCTGGAAGTGTAATACACCAAAATACACTTAGGGCACTTAGGCAGATCACTCGTGATGTGGTTTGCTTGAACAACAGTTGTGAAACAATGACATTGCATTAGGGACATTGCATACGATGTCCTCGAGCATAGTAATATTAGACAGAGCTCCTGACAAAAATGTGCAAGTTTTTCCCACTAAGTACCCAGTGCGGTCAGGCGCTGGAACACCTGGTGACAGCCTAGTGAATATGTTTGTACCATTAAAGTCTAAGTATTTTTTTATGAACTAATTACTAATAATATTTTTTTAATGAAAATTTGTTCTAATTATTATATTTACCTAATCTAAAATGCTAAAACATCCACTTTGTCACTGGCACTCGGTGATGGGACTTGAACCCATGACCTTTCGCAATCCGGGCGACTGCTCTAACCACTGTGCTACCCAAGATCAAAAATGACGAATTGTTCAAGCACTCGTTACTTTTTTGCTACTATAGAGCGTATTTTCGTCAATAGCCGAAATATTTTTACAAACTTTCGATAAAAATAAAAATTTGATATAATTATTATACTTAATCAATTCACAATACTGTACTGAAAAATATTCTTAAAGGCACTATTTCACACGGACGACGTCGCGAGCACACCTATATATATATATATATATTATTACTTCTTGAATCTTATTCAATTAACAGATTTGAAAAAGTGGTTTAATAGGGTTAGACCTAAACTTAATCTAGTGTGTACGATAAGATTGTACATTTTTCTTTTTATTGGTGAGTAACCCTAATAATAGACAACAAAAGTGTAACCCGAAAAATGTTCCGAACTATCATTGTATCTATACCATCTAAATATTATTAATGGGCTGTTGTGTTCCTCATTAACCCTGCGTTACGACTGAGATAGAGGCATGGATCCGGGATGTGTGTGAAACTGCTGGGTCAGATTGGGACAATGGGAGGAACACAAAGGAACTATGTTTGCGGATTCAGTACTGCTTATTTGTGATTTCCTGACCTCTTGTGAAGTTACGTAATTTTGTTTGAAAATGTGTCTTTGAAACACGAATAAATCTGAAATCAAAAATATAGGTTTTAGACTAATTTTGGAAAATAGCTTTAAATTTTAAGCACATTACATTTATATTTTGGGGAAATTTGTTGTTTATAAATACAAATAAAAATCAAAGTTAAAGTACAAATTTCCGAAACTGCACGAAAAACGCTGTCTGTCATAAGCCGCCATTACGCCGCGTATAACGTCACACGCAAGTAAGTAAACAAGTCTCATCGTATTAAAATCGTTACATGTGACGTTATCGGAATTGCAAACGCTTACAAGGCGTTTTCGTCTTAAATATAATGTCAAAAAATATTCAATTTTATTTTGTGATCTCCAAAAAATATACATTATTTCGTTTAAAATGAAGTGAAGTATGTGTTATTACATAATAAAGTGAAGTATCTTATAGGATCATCACAATTTTTAATATTGTCAAATACCTTATTATATTTAATTCATAAATTATTATTATGTTGATTCTTGAATGTTCATTCCTTATTCAGTAAATTACATTTATTATTCAGTAAAAACAAACATTCTTTCATTTAAATGTATGTTAATAACGATACACGGATGAACCGAGTGGTTTGCACGCCGGTTTCAAGGCGTCGCCATCTCTGAGGTCCCGGGTTAGATCTCCGGTCGGGAAAATGAACTTTTCTATATTGTGTCAGGTCTGAGTGTTGTGTTACTTCCGTTGTCTCGGATACTCCATAATACGGGGGCTTTGACTACTCATCTTGGAATCTGAACAATGTATGTGATATTGTGTAATATTTATTTATATATTTATTTTATTTATATCTCGCTCAGCTGAAAAGCGGTTTTCAGCGACAAAAAATAGACAATGCGACGGAATTCGCGATAATGTGCTGCTAGATGTAGTTTAACACTAA